CCTAAACCCTAAACACTAAGCCCTAGGCCTTGTCTCAGATCCCTCTGCGCCGAGCCTCCGACGATGCGGAAGTTGCCGGGTTCTTGTTGAGGAATTTGTCTTGGTGTTCTTCTGGTTGGGTTGAGGGATTAGGGTTTAGGGGTTTAGGGTTGAGGGTTTAGGGTTTGGGGTTTAGGGTTTAGGGTTTAGGGTTTAGGGCTTTAACTTTTTTGGTTTCTATATGAACTGTAATAAGCAGACTAAAAGTTTAACTTTTTGGAGGGGTTCAGAAGTCAGCCAAGGTGTTTTCAGTTGCCATAGCAAGGAAACCACATGGTTTTTTTCGGTTTAGGGTTCAGGGTTTAGGGTTCAGGGTTTAGGGTTTAAGGTTTAGGGTTCAGGGTTTGGGGTTTAGGATTTAGGGGGGTACCTTATTTTGGGGTCCTTATGATAAGGATCCTACTGTTTAGGGTACTATATTGGGCCCCCGCTATTTTCCGAACCTCCCCATATATTATTTATCATCGTTGCAGTATAGATCCCTACAGATATAAATCCTGCATTACCCATATTAAGGAATCTACAATAATTCCCATGGTTTAGGGCCCATTAAGGTAATGCAGGGTTTATATCATCAAGAGTATTAAGGTAACTGAAACGTAACACCAAACCCTAGACCCAAAGCCCTAAACCCTAAACCCCAAACCTCTAAACCTCTAAACCTCTAAACCCTGAACCCTAAACCCTAAACCCTTAACCCTAAACCTTCAACCCTAAACCCCAAACCTTGAACCCCAAACCCCAGCCGAAGAGTCCTGAACAAGAGCTGCAGGTTGCACTGCCCAGCCTGTGGGCGGATGGCGAACGCGTGGTGGTGGCCTTTCTCAGGCACTTCGGCTGAGCGGGTTTGGGGTTTAGGGTTTGAGGGTTTAAGACTTTGGGGTTTAGGGTTTAGGGTTTAGGGTTGAGGGTTTAGGGTTGAGGGTTCAGGGTCTAGAGTTTAGGATTGAGGGTCGAGGGTCTAAGGCTTTGGGGTTTAGGGTGGTCGGGCCATTGAGGCACTTCGGCTGAATGGCCTGCTGGGAGCTGGGTATCCAACTGAAGCGGGACTGGCTCCCGGAAGCTGAAAAAGCGAAGATCAAGCTCTTGGTGGCTGCTGGGCTCTTGTGATAGAACTTTGGGTTTAGGGTTTTCGTTCTAGGGGGTCTATATATATATATATATTTAGGGCTTCGGGTCTAAGATGCCATCATCAAGATCTATAGTAGTAAATACTTGGGTTTCCTTATGGTAGCTTAAATGAAAGCCCTTAGCGCGAACTCAGGTCGGCATCGGCACTTCGCAAAGTGCGAAAGAGTTTGCGGAGCAGGTCGGTCTTCCGCCGGAAATTGTTTTCGGTGATGATGAGGCAGCGTCCTACCAAGCCTTGCGATTCGTGAACTCCG